CCCCCATCCACCCCGAGACCCCGAAAAAGGAAAAAAAAAAAAAAAAAAAAGGAAATTAAAAATGGAGAAACCCAAAAGTACACGATCCAAAGCAGAGATTAGACAAAACATTAAACATCAACAAAACACAGCGCTGCCTAACAGGGAGTCGAGTGTGCTGGCCAGGCTGCAGCACCACACATCTCCCACTGCTCCAAGAGCCAGCCTGACCACAGCCTGCAACTCCCGATGGCAAAGGACATCTTGCCAGCCTGAGCAGTGCCATCCTAGGTGGAGCTGCAGCAGAACTAAACTTTAATGATTTACTCTGCCTCAATTAACAGCAAATGAGTCACTTTCTAAAATTCCTGTCTTCCCCCACACCTTTCTGAAATAACTCAGTTGATTGAAGAGATTTTAACTTAAAAAAAAAGTTCTGATTTTTTCAAATTACTCCTTCCTCTTCTCAAATGTCAAACCTACAACATTAATCACAACAAAGATTACAGTCACTTCCTTTTATTTTTTATTTCATTCTTACATAAAGATTCATTTTGAAGAGCATTTTAAAAGGCTCCAAAAGGCAGACTATTCCCTCAGGTGACACGTCTGTATTTAACTGTACTGACAAGCAATCCATTAGTAATAATTTAGAGGCACGTGTGGTTTAATTGAGAGACCCCCACACCAGCCAGATGCTTGGGATAGGTTCAGAAGTCAATGACTGAGACAGCCCAACACCAACAACTGCTGGCCTTAGCTCTGAGCCCATAAGCCAGAGGTCTTGGCTAGAAGCTAGCCTGGAAAGCGTGCCCAGGACAGCTGCATAACAGATACTTGAATGCAACGTGAGATATTTACTTAGCTGGCTATAAGGCACGTATTTGGCACGTGCACGTTCCTGATCGTGTGTCTGGCAGCACGTTTTGCCGTGCCTGGGGCTGGTGAGTGAAGTCCCACAAGGAGAAACACCCATGTGTGGTTGTAACCAGCCCGGCTCAGGTACCAACTGCAGCATCACCCAAGCACTGTGCAGACAGAAGAGGGCAGGGCCCCCAACCCCGCTTCTCCCATCAGCCACAGGGGGTTAAAACCTCCAGCTGCAATAAAAAGGCATCCTCAGTACCTTCAGCATCTTCAAAACAGAGGTGGCAGCTGGGCCCAGGAACCCTGGGGACGGATGCACAGAGAGTGAAGGGGAGTTATACAGATGGGGCCTGTCAAGTGCCTGCTGCCACCCATTGGGACCCCACTGTCTTTCCCATCATAGTCAGGCATTTGCAAGGACTGAACTGTGGCCTAATCGCTGCCAAGGCATCCAAGTTGAAACAAGCTCAAGGATCACACACACAAAACAAACCAGTGTGTGGAGGAAATGTTCAATGACTCATGTTTGTTCTTCCACAACTGCACGGCCAGTCTTGCAGGCTCCCTTTGGAGGCACGTGTGCCCTGACTTCGCTGCAGACAGCACGTTCCTACCTCACCGCTGGAAAAAAACTCCACTTAGGAGACAGTGCAAGAGCCCTTACTCAACCCTGTATCTCACAGAAGAAGGGGAAGCTTCAAAACCAGTCCAGCTGGACACATCACAGCAAAACACCCCTTGGAAGGTGGTGCTTTCGATGGTAGAATGTGGCAAACACAGAGCAGAGATTTGCAATGTTCCGTGAGGATGTGGCTGGCAAAACCAGAGCCCAGTGCTCCTCTGCTCAGATCATACAGCAGCAACGCAGCTTCTGGGCTGCTGAAAGAAGTGAGGAAGGCAAGTTTGCTCCCCCATGGACAGAGGGCCACTGAACAGCTCAGCTTATCAAACCTGGGTGCAGACAGCAGCAGAAGAGACAGAAAGCGACTTAAAGGAACAACCATTAGTAGATTGCTCTGGTCAGACAATAAATCCTCATTAAAAAGGAGGGGTGGCAATGAAAAGGATATGAGATAAAAGTGCCCATACAAGTGATAAACCAAGCCTGCCTGCAGTGCTCTGCAGTCCTGCGGGCACAGGTCTGCTGGGCAGCTCCACCTGAGCAGCTCAGGTATGTTTACCCAAGGGACACACCTTCCACTGAACCCATTCCAGAAGGCCCTGCATAAGCTGAGGCTTCAGCCAGGGAAGGAGCCCAATAAAACCTTTAGTCAAGGCTGTTAGAGGTGACTTTTTGTGCAGATCCTGTGGGAGAGCTGCGCCAAAGTCAAGGTTGGTGCATGGCCTTAGCTACCACACGTCCTGGAAGCAATCATCTGTAACAGAGTTCAGTGATAAATTCCCCCTTCCCACCACTTCTCGTTTCTTCCCCTCCATTCCCAGCTCTTTTGTCTCTAAATCCTCTCTGTGCAGAAGCTCCCAGTTGTAGCTTCAGGTGATAGAGGTATTAAAGTGGCAGCAAGAACTCTGTGTTGGGCTTCAGGACTAACAGCACAACCGTATGAACAGGGGCTCTCACAGTTCCTGGACCACCTGCCTGCAGCCACAGTCAGATCTACACAAGGAAAGAAACAGCCGCCACTGCAGGTAAGCCCAGCACAGAGCCCTGCAGAGGTATGGCTGCTTCTGGCAAAAATACTTCAGGTCTTGGAGCAGATTTTAAGGTTTTTAACACGGTGTGAGCTTTCCCTGTGTGACTACTCCCTGCTGTTGATGGGGAAAGCCCCACTCCTCACTCTGCTCTGCTGTCCTCACACCAGCTCTGTTACTAAACCAACTCACCATGACATCTAAGAGCAAAATTCTCTTTATGGCTTTAAAAATCCTACCCGGAGCAATTGCCCAGTAAAAATTTATAACAATCTGGAATATCTCTCTCTGTAGACATTGCTCAAGAAAGATGATCTAACTTTCTGCAGCCTCAACACACGCCAAGAGGATCTTAAGCTGTGGATACAAGAGTGTTTATGAAACCTGTCTCAGATTCACAGCCTAAATGCAAACAGCTCAGAAGTCACTTCTAGTTTGAGGAAGGGGCGCAATGCAGTATTTTAGGAAACACCATGAGGCTGTAATTTAAAATGCTCTTCTGAAGCCTGTCAAAAACCACTGCACCAGGCTGTTGAGACAAAGGACAGTCGGTTAAAAGACTTGCTGTTTAGCCAAATCAGAACTGAAGAGGCAAGTGCACTTGCAGTATTTCATGCCACCAAAGGGTGTTTCAGCTCTGCTGTGCAGGGATTCAGCTCAGGCTGTGTCTCCTCCTCTTGCTCTGTGACAAGCACCTAAAAGACATTGGTAAAGTTACCTCCAAGGGAGCTTCCAGCCAGCTCCCAGTGCAAACATTTGATTGAAGAGAAAGCTGCACACAAAGCCCTTGACTAGGCTTTTATTCTGGTGTTACCCTTTTCATTACAAACACTTCCACCAACCTCAGATCTGCCAATACCCGACTCTCACTACACCTACAGACTCCACAAGTGGCTGGAGGCTCCAGAAGGAGATAGAGCTGACAGCATAGGATCTGCTCTGTGCCTGACCATGGCCCAAGCAAGCCAAGCCTAACTTTGAATTGCTTTTCAAACTTAAGCAAACCTTTAAATAAAGGTCAGCAAATGGTTCCAGCCAGCACAGTGGCAGCTCTGCAGTGGATTTCCTAACCTCCCACTACAAGAAGCAGCCAGGAATGGGAACAGAACCAGCAGCTTCCTGGATACAAGGCAATATCCTTGTTCAAACATCCTTATAACCACCCGAGCCTCTCTCCATCCACCCGCCACAACTGGATACTTAAAGAACAGTCTCTGCTGCTCATTTGCTACTTGTACCCAGAACCATCCAGCATCTGCATCACTTGTTCCAGACATGGCAAAGCCATGCAGCTAAATGACCAGCAAACACCACACAGATTTTCCTCTACTCCTACCAGTTCACTCCTCATGGAAGAACTTCCCCTAGCCCTGGCACTGGCCAGCACAAAAGGCTGCCATGCCAACCTGCTCACCTGTGTTACACGCTCCATCTAAGCTGCATGGAGATTCTGAAAGCCCAACTGTTCCACGCTCACCCTACTCCAGCACCATCCCCTGCCTGTAACCCTCTCCAACTACACTACTTTCTAGCTGTTTATTCTTTCCCCTTTCCAAAACTCTTTGATGCAGTTTCACCCTGTTACCCTCCTGCCACAGCACCGCATCTTCTGCAATGGAGAATTGGTGCCAACCCCTCTCCTTCCAGAGCACCACACAAGGGGTCCTTCCAGAAGGCAAGAACAGGGTTTGGAACAAGGGGAGAGCAGGATCACAAGGTTCCCATGAGCTGACTCCCCTGTGCCATCCTCATGTGCTGCTAAGATGACCTAACAAGGAAGGCCGACGTTACTCTTCCCCCATCCCACCTGGAATTCTCCTTCAGCTGAGGGAGGTTGCTGTGAGTCCTCCTAATGTACCACCTCCAGAATACTCACATCCACAGGCTGCAGTGAGTTTACAATAGTGCCACATCCCACGTAACCTGCAGGAGCACTGGGGAGGCGTTAGCAAGCTTCAATCACCAATCCCTTCCAACCCAAACACACAAGCAGGGAGTGGAACGTAACATTTGCACCCTTTGTGGCAAACACTGCAGTCAGAGGGAAATCTAAATGCATCTGGAGGTTAAAAAGAGTTGCTAGACCTCCCTCACCCAGCAGCACACAAGGCCCATTTAGGGATCAGCACTGGTCATGGAAATTATCTTTCTCCCCTGCAAATGCAGCTTATAATCAGGTGCCAAGTGTCCTAATTACAGCAGGAGTTTTCTTTCCATCTGGGAAAGAAATAAAAGAAGGTCACCCCTCTCAATTTATAAGATACAAGTTGACGTAGGATTTATGTTTCAGTGGTCCTGAATATAAGGAGCATCTTTGTTACTTAAAGTTTCACAAGGTTTTCACAAGCCAGCACCATCTCCTCTCCTTGGCAGACTCTAACATAAACAGGAGCTCCAAAAGTTAGACCGACCCTTTAGTGCCTCATCCTAGAAGCAGACACGAAAGTGGAGTGGGAAACTGTACAGATGGGAAGAGTGCCAGAGTGCCACGCTCAGAGCCTGAATCGAAAGCAACTCTGAAAGTTTTGCATCAAATGATGCAAGAAGATGGATCAGCTTTCAGATATCTGTTTTCTGGCATGCTGCATCTCCCTAGGCTTGAGATTTTAGAAATGGGTAAGCCAGGACTCCACAAGTATTTATTTTAACATCATACCTATGGAAAACAGCAACAGTGCCTGAAGGGACAAGAATCTCAAGGGGTCCTACTCCTAATATTGCAAGTAGCTTTAAAGTTCTTTTACTACTTACACTAAAGGTCATTAAAAAAATCTTTAAAAAATATGCACAGTTTTAGAGGACAGACTCACCCTTGTAAAACTGCTGTTAAACTCTATTAAAACTCTATGAAAAGGTGCAATTGGCCTCCCCAGCAAAGCACAGGCTGGGATGTGACAACAGGGAGCCAGAGCTCACACATCTTTTGCGGCCTGGAAGAACAAGGGACGCATTACAAACGTGCTGAAACAGCCCCTGAGCTCCTCAGGGAAGCCAGCACAAAACCACTGCACAAGAGGCTTAAACGCTCCTCCTTCACCTTTATTTGTAGAGGCTTTTTCCTGTGGGCAGATCTGTGCTATTAATGGTTCCAGATTTTGCACCCCTTCCAATAAAACATCATCCATGTATAAACGCTTCACATCTTTCCTTTTCAGAGCTGTCACTTCTCTCATTTTATGGATGGTAAAGCTACATGTCCTCCTGCCCCAGTTTAAGCTGTAGCTGTATCACACTTGTGCTCATCCACCACCAGAGCACCCAACTTCCTCACTGACATCAGAGCTGAGGCCAAAACCCCATGTTGTCCCTAATGAAAGTTGACTTTGCAAAGGACAGCCAGGAGGTCACCCTCTGCTCACCCTCAGAGCATCACCAGGAGCCCTGCAGAGGGTTACAGCAGCACGTCACGCCACCAGCTGCACACATCATGGCCTGAGGAAGCTGGCCCTGTGCCTCTTCTCATCACATCTTTACAAAAAAAGGAGTTATTTTTAAGACAAAGAGCAGAGAATAAAGATTGCCCTTTCGCTCTTTCAGTCCTGAGAACTTGGAGCTCGTCCCCAGGGGACTTCTGGTATGTTCTGTGATGATGCAACAGGACAAGCCTTGTAAAGCCATGTCCTATCTGTTGCAGCAAAAGTTACTTTTTTATCGAGAGAGACTTTATTTTTAGAGTTGTATCAGTGAAGGGAGAGTGATACAGAACTCACCAAATATAGCAAAAATACAAATACAAAAACAGAAAAAAAAAAAAGCTTCCCACTCTCAAACACAAGGACTTCCATCTTCACCTCACACCAAAGAAATCCATTAGTATTATCCAACACACATCCCATCAACACCAGCAATCCCAGCCACAGTCAACTCAGCTTCATAGAGATCATCTGTGCTAAGGATTGAACACAGGATTTAAGCTAGCTGGGTAAGTAACAAAACGTTCCTGCACTTCGAGGTGACAGCACACCTGTCTTCAGCAATGTCTCCCATGTAAACACGCCCTTGGGGATAGGACTGGGGCAGCACGTATGCAGTCTGCTGCAGCACGCAACAAGCACTGAGCCCCCTCAATTTTGGGAGCAACTTCCTATGAACTGCAGCCCAGAAGCAGCAGAAAGGAACCCCAAGACCTGCTTTAGGATGACAACTCCTCAACACACAGACGCCTGTCTCAGAAATGCCCCTTCAAGCTGGGAACAACTCAATTTGAACCAAATTGATCCAAAACAAAAGAGTGAGTGTGGGGCTACACTCGGTGCTCCTCTCTGCAGCAAAAGCCTCATTCTGGAGCCAGCTCTTACTTTCAGCAGGACCCAGCACCTCCAACCTTGCTAAGTCAAGGGCAAAAACTGCCCAAATCGATGGGCTGAAAACAGCTACACAATAAAAAGCGGCAGACTTCTATCCTTAAACCAAGTGTGCTGCCCACCTACCCTACCTCACCAAAACGCAGATGTGCTGATCCACTCTGGTTAGTGCAACTGGTGTTGCAGGGTGGTCGGCGCAGGCAACGCTCCCTGCGCCCCATGCAGCAAAGCTGCTGAGCTCCCAAGGTCGCCAGCCGCTAAAAGCAGTGGAGAAAGTTCTGAGCCTCTCCCAAGCCAGTTAAAACGCTTTCTGAGGTTTGTTCAGCCAAGTTTCACCTTCTCCCTCCCCAAAAGGAACAGCCTTTGCCACAACCCAGCCCTCCCAGCGTTGTAATGGATGTCAGAGACGTTAAGAGGCAGAAAGGTGCATGTTCCTTTTCATCGCTGGGTCAAACCGAGTTGTCAGGAGGGATGAGCCAAGGTGTTCGCAGCAGCTTTGGCTTGGGAGGGCCCCCCAAACCCTCCCCAGCCGCTCTGCAGAAAGCCTGCCTGCTCGGAGGAGCTCTGGGGAGGGAGAGGAGCTTGAAAGAGAGGGAACTTACTCCGTGATCCTCTTCGCCAGCTCGGTGCAGGCTGCCGTGGAGTTGGCCGAGAAGACCCGGTAGCCACTTCTAGCTGCGTTCATCGCCAAAGAGTCATGCAACCCCCGTGGAGCTCGAAAGTGAGAAAAAACAGATTTATAAGGCAACAACAGCTTCCGTGGCATCCTTTTCTTCCTCTCCGCCGCGATCACCGCCCCTTAAGGGGTGGGGAGGAGGAGGAGGGAAACCCTCCTGCTACCTATGGTCTTGCTGGTCCGCTGCTGTGGCAAAGT